CCTAGGGCCAGTCGGTCGTATCAGTTGATAAGGGGCACGGCTGTTTCCCGTAGCAAAAGCCTTCTCCATCTCCCAACCTTTCGATATCCACCAGAGCTCTCTGTCTTTCTTCAGACTCTTCAGCGGTATACAAATAGCAGCGATACAAACTGACGTTTGAATAAATTAAGTTTCCCGTACCTTTATCGCCCCGTGGTGCAGTGTGGAATGCACTACCGGATCAAGTCTACTAATCCACTAATTGCTTCTTAAGGACTTAACACCATTCTTTTTTTCTTTTCTTTAGCAACAGTGGATTCGACTTGTCATCACTTTGCAGTGACTTCAAACACATTACCAAAAGATTTTCAGCAAAGGGGTCCTAATTGCCATACCACCCGAAGGTGGCAGGAGGCCTGGGATACACCAGGTTGCCCAAGCCTAGACGGGGGAAGTCGGCAGGTAGATGTCGTGTTCGAACCACGGACCTTCCGGTCAGTAACTTCGCACTCTAACCACTGAGTCATCTCGCATGTTCAGAAATCAGGAATACACCCATCAGCAAGCGAACCAGCAAAAAGCCATTCATCAGATTGCGAACAGGTAAGACAGTGGAGAACGCAGGCGATATGTGGGCAGGTAGAGGAATTATTTTGAATGACATTCTATTCAGGAAGTGAACATCATTATCACTGATAGCGTAACGCCCGTTTCAAACACCAGTACCTCGCTTCCGTACAGCCACAATTTATTCGAAAACCTTACTGTGAAGGGAAGACTAAAACCGGATGGGGAATGGATTCGCTATTCAGCTACAGGCATCCCGAGGTACCTACGTATTGAAGCCCTCTGGATAGAAGCTATCAACAAGGACGCCACTGACATCGATCACCAGGCATATTCTACAGCGTCTTAAACCATACATTGGGAGGGTTTACACGCACCCTATTCCATGAGGCGCGTCGCACGGACAGTACCTAGACATTTTGTTATCTCAAATCGTTTAGCTGTAACATCCTTCCGGTGTCTAGCTGCCATGCCACCCGGAAAAAGCAGGAGGGCTGGGATACTGCCAGGTTGCCCAAGCCTAGGCAGGGGAAGTCGAGGGGCAGAGGTCGGGTTCGAATCACGGACCGTCCGGTCAGTAAATTCGCGCTTTAACCACTTGAGTCATCTCACCCCTTGTTATCCCTTACCTTCCGGCAAGTCAGATGTTGCCCACTCTGCTTGCGCCACTCTGAATTGGGCATGGAGGAAGCGGTGTTTCCGGTAAAGTGTGATTCGGTGTGCACAACCAAGCCAAACCACCACAGCTTCTGGGACTTTATCGATTGAGGTTGCTACAGCACAACCGAACACTAACTTTCTAATTTTGGTTGCGGAATCGCCGGCAGCAGCCTACACGAGCTATGGTTCTAAGAAAATATTTATCAAAGTTCTGAAGACACTCAGTTCGGCCGCTCGCAAAGGCCACGCATCACAACACCATACACCAGAGCCTATACTGTAGCCTGATACAGACGTCCCGTGAGATTCAGAGCTATATCACTTTGCTGCCATAGAAGTCCTCAAATTAACAAACACGACCCAAACCTTGCAGATCCTTAATTGACTTCCTATGTCATTCACACAACTTCCAAGATACACAGAACATTTCACTAATTCGCATACTTCATCTTGGATTCTAAGTAGCGTGACACGTGGTTGCTAAGTCAGGAGCACTCTGCCAAAGGATGTGATGAACTTGGTCACTTCAACACCCCTTTGTCATCTTCAAAGACGACAACCTTGTCGTCTGCATATTGCAGGTCAACAAGGCTTTCGTCAGCAGTTATTTGAACACCAGGGTTTTCAAGACCTACCGGCGTTTACCTCATTATTCCGTCAGTTGTGGAAGTAAATAGGAATGGACGAAGTGGATGTTATTTTCGGAAACCAGCCTATGTGCGGAGGACTTGGGAGAGTTCCCCGTTTACTCCCACTCGCCTTGGATTCGCAGAATACAAATAACTTCTAGTGTTCGCTGACGTTCGGCTCATCCTTTGTTAGGCGAATGTGTTAAGGAGAAAAGGCCGGTCAACCTGGTCGAATGCGCCATGGAGATGTCCGTTATTGATAGTAATTTCTAAGCATGTACCGTTCGTTGTTGATTATGACGTTAATTTCATCTATTACGTTTCAGTCATATCTCTGCTGGAATCCACTGTTCTGCCATCAATGTCGGATACACACAAGGCTGTTCTTGCTCAGAAGGATTCTATACTAGAACATCCATCCATATTGGCCGATGCCATAGATTAGTATGTTCCCTGATTTCCTGTGTTTTTATGACATGGCGTATTAAGTATTCGAAATAATGAATCTGACGGTTCTACAGAAGCCGAAAAGATCCTGGTGGAGAACTATCAGGGTGCGATTGAATTCCTCTTCGAACTGGGCACGTGGCTTACCTATATTGGTAAACCGGGAGTTTTTGTTCACTACTTTCTCTCTATTGTTCTTAGATGAAGATGCACAGTCCACACGGAATATAATCGAATCAGTAGTGAAAGAGGCCATTTTGCAAAATTATGATCGATCCAAAGCAATAAATTGTCTAACAGATGACGCGTTAGCGGTAAGTGTTGCTGGTTTGTGAACGCAATGTTCCTATCTATACCTTGCCTTTTTGTAGGAGACGATGGAATGGTTGAGTCAGATGGTGGAATCTCCTACTTGGCGTCGCACTATATACGAGTTAGCTCAACATCCTCGCAATGAAGATTGTCCGTTTCTGTCATTAGCTATGCCATGCATTGCGGTCAAGGAAAACCTCATTGGTGAACTCATTTCTGTGCCGCTCGCGTGGAACACACTTGAAATTTTTCTCAAGTGTGTTGCGTACGTTTTGCAACCTCTCTTGGCTGCCGGAGAAGCTGTCAATGATGGACTCTTAATGCACTCAATTGCCTTTCTCCAACCCAAGCGGCCTAGCTCCACTGAATCTTCCTGTCCCTCTGTTAGAGACGTTACGTTACCGTCCGAAATAATAGAGTTCTGTGTTATTCCGGCGGACGAGCGGCAGTTGAACAATTCATCGGAAAATTCTTCGGGATCGGCTAATGATATGCTCTCTCGGTTTCTGGTGAGAATTATTCTGTAGCTCGTGATGTACACATTCCCTAGGTGTGCATAAAGAATAAATGCAGCTATAACTCAGGACTAATCAGAAATATTCTTCTCCTGGGAGCATTGCATGTTAAAAGGTTTAACACAAATATATTCCAGGGAAAAGTTTGTTAGCTTAGGCAACTGGGATGTATCATCTACCCCCACACTTCTCTGTTCACCGACTTCCTTCCCTTTTTATTTTTCGCTCTACAAGGAAACGTCGCTGAAACACTTAATTGTAGGTTATCTGACCAATGTGCCATATCCAACCCACTCTCCATCTTTGTTAAACAAACTAGCATTTTAATAAACTCATAAGATGTTTTCTGCTTAGGGGCCTTCAAATTCCCCAATCTGTTCCAGATTTGAAAATAGGTAATATTCGCCTAAACCTTACACTCCCTGGAAGCTGGTCTATACTGTCTCCGAAGTTCCGTCAGACTTGATTATGGTTACGAACCCCGAAATACCCAAACGAATTCAGTTTCGTCACGTTTTAGTCTACTTTTGTCTGTTGACACAAAAGTGGTATTTCGTAGAATTTGTGGTTTGGGAGTTGGTTTTAGCCTCGGGCTGAATGCGCTTGCTCGGATTGCATTCCTGGAAACATTCCTGTTTACACTGTTAGGTCATCCATCTCAAGCGATTTTGATTTCATTCGACATAAAACTGGCGTTTGTTCGTAATGGCAACTAGCGCCCCACTGGACTGCAGTTTTGAAGCTTTAAAGGATGCCCATCAAATAAGAAGCACGAGACCTAATCCTTATGGATGATATGAATGCTGAATTCGGCCGCCTAAGCCATGTGGTCATTTCGAAGTTAGTCGACTTCCTGTTTGGAACCAATCGGGTAATAGTCATTTCAGATAATGGCTTGGCAAAGAATCAGTGGTTTTATAGCTGAGTGCCGTCTCGCTTTTGACCCAAAAGCTCCGTTAGGCCAAGTGAGTAGGTGACTTATTTGACCAGGTTTTAAGACAGACGGAGAACCAATCAGCAAGACCTATTCCTATTAGCACACTAGATCAGTGTTGAGTGTCAGTTGCTGGTTGGTTGGGGAATTTTAAATCAGGCCTCGATCTTCCGGTTCAGAGCGCTTCAATTTTCGATTCACCTTTGTTGACACTGGTAAATTTTGTTGGTCTACATGGATTTGTAAGTTCTCCGACAATTCATTTGTCGGCGGGGGGAAAGTGAAATTATGTGGAAATTTTCATTGGTTTAGTTCATATACTTCACATCTACGCTGCTTGTGTTGACTCTTTCTGAAAACCACGCTACGTGTCAGCTCGACTGATCTGAAACCGTTCTCCACACGCTTGTCAGTTCTACGCCCATTTGTATTTGCTTTGGGACACTCGGCGATTTCCGCCGCATTGGCTATCAGTCTCTATGGCGTGGGCTGTAGTCCGCGCCCCAAATCCTCAACATTTTCCACGTCTACTTTGTGTTCAGTGCATGTCCCGCCACTGCTGTCTCTCAGTAACGCTCGATATTCAACTGCGTTTCTCTGTGGCCTGTTTATTCTTCTTTTGTGCTCGCTGACTCTGGTGTCAAGTTCTCTATCTACCTGTCCTATATGGACCATGGTACAGTCGTTATATTTACTTTCACAGACGGTCTCTGGTTCTGTTCGTCGGGAGGCAGAGCCCTGAAACGCTACTGCTATGTTGGTCTATGGTTCTGAGACTACAGTTGTCTAACACCTCAAGACGTTTCAAATCTGATCAAACATACCGATTCTCACAGCCGTAAAACAAAACGACCCGTAGAGTAGCCTAATACAGACGTTCCTCGAGATTCAGGGATACACCACTTTGCAGCTGTGGTTCGCAAAAAAACAAACACAACCCCAGCCCTGCATATTCTAGCACTGACCTCATCTGTCACACTACAATCAGAACGAATAAAACTTCCGAGATATGTAAAACGCTCCATAACATCGAGTGCCGCTCCCTGGATTGCAATTGCCATGTTCAGTGGTTGCAAGTCCACTAACGCGACCTTACACTTTGTAAGGGCAAAGCGCGTGCCAAAGTACCTTGGTCAGTCTATCCGCAACCACCTATGTTTTCTCTTCTTTGAAGATGAGAACGTTCCTGTCTGCAAGTTCCAGAGAGACACTAAGTTATCCCACCAATATCTCCGTCTTCTGACTCCACCCAATCGTACTTAATGTCCAGTATCACCCGTTTTTCCATCGTAATCGATAAATCGGACTGGAAGCTGTAACCGACGTACCACGGTCGAACGATGATCTTGATGATGCATTTGTTCACGAGGTTGATTATTACGATGCTAAACTATCCTAATTGAATTGGGTTTATTGCCAAGATTACAGTCATTGATTTTCTGTCGAGGAATTTTACGAAACTCGTGTCTCTTAAAATCCGGGCAAACCGCTTTAACCGAGAATAGCGTTGACGTACTTAAATACCTGTTCATGTGCCATTTCAAAATGAACGGGATTCAATCCAGCTTGTTCTTACTTAAAGATAATGTCTACCGTGGAACTTATTAAGCGCGTTTACCAGAGTCGTACCTGAAACAAACCAGAGGCCACATTCAGCTTATCAGATTTGATTGATGTACGGGCGGCAGGCCGGAGAATACCCCTTATCAATAGTTGTGGTGGTGCCGTATTCGGTGAAGTTCCTGTGTTCGCGTATGCTTACCGTTCCCGCCGTTGAAGAGCCACCTGGTACAATCATCCGCTTTTCCCTCGTTGCCCATACCTCTTGTGTGTTCAGCATATTATTCTTTCCAACATTGGTTCGTAGTTTTCCAGTCAAACATTCTTGTATTGCAGTAAACCTTTAGGCCCGGCTGTAGACAGTTGTTTTAGTAGTACTGAAAAGTAATGACAAGCTGGTAGTTTGCTTTCTGTGCTAATAATCATTTGGTATCCATACCTTTTGTTTCAGGAGATGGGTTGTCATAGTGAGCATGGATACCTCATTTTGCAATCCATTCTTCAGTGCCTCGCGAGAAACACCAAAGGTCATTCTGCACGTCATCTCAGTTGGCTTCTGGAAGCTGAGGCTAGCCGAAGGTACACCATGTTATGTCTCTTCACCTATTGTATAGTCACCATGATTTGTTGGTGCACTTTGGCGGTTTTCTTCTGGTCTCGTGCCCCCTTATCGATGAATTGTATAGCAATTTGCCTGTGTGGTTTGGATAGATTCGAATCGTTTCTTTTTCAACAATATCCCATTTTAGCCATTCCACTACCTGTAGCCCTTCACTTGGAACAGATGCTTCATGTCTTTCAGCTGATTATGCACTCTAGTTGCAAGGGTGTTGGGAAACATTCCACTAGTCGATGCAATGAGCAGCGTTGCCTGAGAATATGGATGGTTTACTATTTGATGTGTCTGTGAGGTGGTAAACCTGTAAGAATTTTCTTCTGGATGGCACAAGTTCGACCTACGTCCGTCACTGTGTTTTCATTTCGTCACCTGTGGTTAATCTAATATGACGTCACGACCACCCACAAGGTGCCCTTGATCTCCGTTATTTTCCCTCACTCAGGAACCGCGACGTAAGTCGCTACAGCGTGTACTTGTGTGGTGCGCGTGACTATCCCGAAAGCATGGAGGCCGTGCGTGAAATTCTCAGGAGACAGGAGCTCCTACCAGACAGTGTGTCTCAGGTACGATGGGCACTGCTTTTGTTTCCCCCCTCTCGGTCAACTTCGTCAACTAGTACACTTCATAACACTAGTGTCACTTAAATGCGCTAATTATCAGGCATTCTCTTCGCTATGATGTTCTCAATACATGGTAGTACGTGCGAGTTTTTAGCACAGGTCTTTTAATAACCCCTAGGAAGCTTAGGGTCATTTTATCCCTGAAAATGCTCAAGCGATTTTCGGATACGGTCGGCTTAAGTACTTGCTTTGACGGTTTCTAATGGTATTTAGCTCATGGGCGAACTTCAAAAATGCCCACCCGGATTGCCTTCTCGAAACGATTTTCATCAGAGAGCCAAGTGACTTATACGTATGATAAAATTCCACAACCTTCTAATTAATACTCACGCAATAAGCTTGTTCTAGGAAATCGGTTTCCGAACGTACTATGAAATACCAGTAACAAAAAAGGGAGGGCGCTTCCATCTCTTGGATATTAACACAACGAAGACCAGAAGTTTCGTTTGCGCTTCATATCTGGCTGAAGTGCGCCGAATACATAATATTCATCCGATTTTCAACTGATTGTCCCCTCCATACTAATTACTATTATTCGACACCGGTTACCGTTCGATTAACCCATGGTCAGCGCTGGGACATTAACACTCTCCAAGAATTAAAGCAGCCTGCTACAATCATACACAGATCAATTATTCGGTTAATGGATGCCATGATAGCTGAATAACCCCGTCCAGAACACACGCATCAGATACGGTGGTCGCATCCAGCCCACATGCAGCGGACCGGAGTTCGAAGGTATGCGTTGGAGGCACCAGGTGAGGACCAAACTTTCCTCCAGTTTAAGCGAACGTTACCCTAGGCACAACGCTGTCTCAGTGGAAGAACATTCCCCACAGTGTATACGCTATAGGAACCAGGTGCTAAAACCACTCTCTATTCCCTGAGGTAAAAGCATGTCACACCAATTTCGCTAGTCAACCGTCATATCGAAAACCCGTCAACCCCTCTTTAATTATAACTGCTCCAGCTGTGTATAGCCGATAACAAAACTTTTTCATCTGGTTTCCGGTTTCTCAAATCTGTTTCCCCAGTTTGTAGCAAGTTTGCACGTTGCCGTGCTTGTTTCCCACACTTTGCTTGCTTATGGATAGAACGTGTGAACTTCGTAGTCAATATCATTTCATGCTGAGGGTAGATTTCCCTGTAGGACATTTCTTGTTGCATTTTGGAAGTTTTTGGCGGCGGGTATTGTCTGTCGGCGTGTTTATTATGGCGTCGGAGCCAGTGTGCATTGCGCATGTTGGATGGAAGAAACGCTGCTAATTAGGGGCTCAAAGATTTGAACCCAACCTCTGCGTCTCGACTGTTCCTGTCTAGGCTTGAGCAACCTGGCAACATCCTAGCCTTCGTGCTTCCTAAGGGTAGCATGGCAGCTATGCACCGAAAGGGTCTTGCTATTATTTATTTATTTATTATTATTATTGTGTTTATGATATATT